ACTCCAAAAAGCTTCTAAAAATACCTTTATTTTTTTTCGAAAAATCAGCTGCCTTCTACAACACGTAGCCAGGTATTTCTAATTGTTATAACATATACACGGTGTCCCATTTAAAAAAAACGTACTGCAAGGATCTTGTAGACTCGATGAAATAATAGATTGTAGATTAAATGGGAGGGGGGAAGAGTTAATCACACTTTCTTGAGTTATAACTCATCATATAGTCTCAGGGCTGTGACAAAAGCCAGTATCTTAGACGGTTTTCGAGAGTTTAGTTCTCCATCTCCGATATCAGTCGTACCAATGTTTATGGTACTTAAAGTAGGTTTTTGTTCTGGTATTTCTGCATTTTCCCCACAGAATTTGCGTTCGCACTTGTTTATTGCCTTCCAGTCAGTTTAATGTTCCAGTTAGTTTAATGTTCACTCCTTTTCTAGCTAGATCGTTTGCTTTTTCATTACATTTTATCACTTGATGGGCTGATATGGACTTATTTTCTTTGCCTAATTTGTTCCAGCTTCTCTAGGCATTCTTTAAACACTTTCGATTTGAACAGTTGATAGCTCTTAAAGCTGCTATAAGATAAGATACAAAAATGAATGAAAATTAAATTTGAGAAAGATTACGCCTTGCGGATCAATCTTGACATCTTATTTGTTTTGGATTGTTACCAGTTTTTCTTATAGTTATTAATGATACAAGTTCGATAGGAACATCATAATGGCATTCTATAAGTTTCATTAAAAGTTCGTATCGAACGTGTATCATTCAAAAATTTAATCTACGACGCGACACGAGTGGGACGATCCAAAGAGATTTGATTTAATTTAAAATATCAGAGATATCCTCATAAAAAATCAAAATTGAAAAATTATCTAGGTGCCCATTAGTGGACGCCGTGGTAACCGATAACTTGTTGATTGTTTCCATTTTGACTCTTTGACAACTCAATTATAGATGTTCAATTTTTGTGTTAAACGTTCAGTTTTAGCAAAAAGCAAAAAATAATATTAATATGGGTGGATTCTGATTCTGAAAGTGTCCCTTTGGATATTGAAAGCATTGCGCAAAACTTTGTCGATTCCCCTTCACTTCCCCGAAAAATCAAGACAAATGTACGAGCAAGCCTATGTAAAACTTGAAGATTGGTGTAAAGGAAAGGAATCAAGAATAGTAGTGACGAAAAGGTTCCTGGAATATTATTTTGAACATCTTTCAAAACATAGGGAGGCTTCATTACTTTGGGTGTATTATTCCATGCTACGTTCAGTTATATCAGTGAAGAAAAATACAGTTATTAGTAAGTACCGTCCATTTAATTGCATTTCTAAAAAAGAAAATCGGAAGGATTTCGGTCAAAAAATCGAGAATTTTAAGAAAAGAAGACATAACTGGTTTTTGTTGGAAGCTGATGATAAAACTTATTTCCTGAAAAAGTTTCATTGATAGTGGAACTTGCGGTGGAGCCTGCCGTGGCGTATCCGAGTTGACAACCCTGCAGCTGCAAAAATGTTAAAGATGAAGGACAATGCATTCATGTCATTATTCCGTTTACGAAAACAAAGATATCACGAGATTTTTTTTATAACTAAAGGGAATGTTGAAGGAATAAATATGGTGGAAATGGTTGAAGAAGATATATAGCTATGCGGCCAAGCAACACAGAGCATACTCGATTTTTTGTGGGGTACAGAAATGGAAAATGTATTAAGCAACCCGTTGGCATTAATACTTTAGGGAAAATGCCGTATAAAATAGCATTGTTCCTAAGTCTTCCAAATCCACAACAATACACTGGACATTGTTTCCGTAGATCGTCTGCGTCGTTGCTTGCTGATTCAGGAGTGGATTTATTAACTGTTAAAAGACATGGTGGTTGGCGCTCTAACACAGTGGTAGAGAGCTAAACAGAAAATTCCAGAGAAAATAAGAAAAACGTGTCATGTAATATTTTGGGTAACATTTCTGGCAATGAAGGGTCTTCAACAAGTTCAAGCACTCAGGAAATAAATTTATTTTCTAAAAATTCAACTCACCTGTCATCATCTGGAATTAATTTAACCAATTGTACTGATATTATAATTAATGTTTACAATAAATAAACGTATTTAGGTACCTTTTTTTGCTTGTTTCTTATTTTAAAATTTGCGTGTTATTATGAATTCATAATAGCACTAGTGCAATTATGAAAGCCATAATGACATCCAAATGACAATGTTAAATGTGTCATAATGACATTGTCGTAGATTAAATTAGTTAAAATTGACTTGTCTAATATTGTTTAAATTTGACATGTGCATTCAGCATATGTACGTCTTTAGAAACCTATGTACGACTTTACCGTAAAATCAACAGGAGAGCCAATATTTGGAAAGATCAAAATATGCATAGGATTTCCTATGTTTCCAATGACGGTGCATCACCCGGTATAAAATCCAAAAATACCCGCTGGGGTTAACATTTACCCTAACAAAAAAAGCTTCAAATTTCCTCTAAATTCTCGTTTTAATCTCCAAAATCATTTTCTTCCATTATGAAGAAATCTCATTACCGGTGGCGAAATTTAATTTAGAAATATGCTTTGAATAAAACAAAAAACCTATCGAGCTGCGTAGGCGTGGAGATATTGGAATTTTCCAATAAAGATCGCAGACGAAATACCGAAGAAGGTATAAGATAATTCGGTCTCAAAATATCTGAGAATCTGTTTTGATTTTGCACCTTTTTTGTCTGAAAATATGTTTTGAAAGAAGGCAAACCTACGTTACTTATTTTCCTTAACGATTTATTTAAATACTAACATTCTAAAGTACCGTATGATCGAGAAAAAACAGCGTCAGCGATGGCAATGAAATGAAGATCGCTGTCATTTTATATGTAAATTTACATGGGGAGTGTCATCGATCGTCATTTCGCAGCTAACTGGACGCCATTTTTTTTTCAATCATACGGTAGTTTATAATATCATTAGAATAAAATTTTCAGTACTCAGTTGGAATTATGAAATTATTTCACCGAATGTTTGCAACATGTTATATAAATAAATAAACATATCTGAAAATACAAGGTTGTTCACCACATACGACACGTATTATTGTGGCTAAACGATCAGATTTTTACAAATTGTTAAGTTTTGGGTTCGTTTAAGGACTATTAGAGCTACAATTTAAAATTCATTTTACAAGATACAGATTGTCCCTAATATCACAGAATATCTAGCTATACGCGTAGCTAGATATTCTGTGCTAATACGTAAAAAATATCATAGTTGTATTTTTTAAAAAGGAACACCCTGTATATTATTCTATTTTTAGATTCTACGATTGAAATAAAGGTAAATTTGATTAAGGTTTACCGCATTTTAATCTTACCGTTTCTGAAATATTTCCAGTTTTGTGAAATTGCAGTAAAATACATATTTAAGGCTTCATATCTCCAAGGGTATCAAAGTTATTAATACTAAATATTTACTGAAGATTACTTATTAATCAGATATTGTGTTGCTCTAATAAAAATTATAATACCTTATACAAAGTGTCCAAAAATTTATGTTAAATAATTATGTACTAGTTTTAAACGGTAATAACTTGTTTAATTTAAATAGAACACCCTGTATATTTTACGTGAATTAGATGCACAAGTTAATTGTCTGACAAATTGTATTATACCATTTTTTACCTATCTCTTCAAGTTTTCGTAGAAAATGCATTTTCTTATAATTTAGACCTCATTTATCACTATATCGATGGAATATTGACATTTTAGATTTTTTTAAAGCAATATATGTACAAAATGTACAGGTAGTAAAAATAATAACATTATAGGCCCATCGGTTTGCAAAAAGAAAAGTATTTAAATCTTTGTAAAAGAGTATACCAATTATATATACAACCATTATTTCCGCGCAAAAATTAGTTAATTACATACTTTATTATTTTATCAACTGAATTATCTAAATAAATATGGATTTGACTCAGAAATCAGTATAATAATAAGTTATGAAAATGAAGGTCTCTGTTGTATTCGTCAAAAAATCAAATAAAATTTATAAGGTGTTACTTTTTACCACACTGTCTAATACACATACAAAATTCAGTTTTTTAGTATTTGGAGCAATTATTATTAATCAACGTAAAAGTCAATTAATGTAGTTTGAATACTGGGATTATATTAATTGGTGCTCTTTAACAAATAATATTTAAACAGTTTTGTTTTTTTATTCTTGACTGAAATAAGCAAACTATATCGACAATATTAGTATCTGTACTCTTTGAAAATTTATTACATCTTTAGAAATAATCTAAAATATCAATATTCCATGGGTATATTGATAAATCAGGTCTTAATTATAAAAAAATGCATTTTCTACGAAAACTTGAAGGTATAGGTAAAAAATAGTATAATACAATTTGATAGACAATTAAATTGTGCATCTGAGTTACGTAAAATATACAGGGTGTTCCATTTAAATTAAACAAGTTATTGCCGTTTAAAGCTAGTAATTATTTATTATAAATTTATAGACACTCTGTCTAAGGTAGTATTTTGTTTATTATTGCAACACAATATCTGATCAATAAATAAACTTCAGTAAATATTTAGTATTAAAATCTTTGATACCCTTGGAGAAATGAAGCCTTAAAATTTTTAATGTAAATTCAAAAAATTGAAGATATTTCAAAAACGGTAAGGTTTAAGTGCGATAAACCTTAATCAAATTTACCTTTATTTCAATCGTAGAATCTAAAAATAGAATAATATACAGTGTGTTTGGTTTGGTTTGGAACCATTTAAAAAAATACAACTATTATATTTTTTACTTACTTGGGACACTCTGTATCTTGTAAAAATATTTTTAAATTGTAGCTCTAATAGTCCTTCAACGAACCCAAAACTTACAATTTGTAGAAATCTAATTGTTTAGCTACAATATTCCGTGTCGTATGTGGTGAACAACCCTGTATAAACAATATTTAATAATTATTGTTATTGCTACTCACCTTTCCTGACTTTTTCTATGGCCTCTACAACCAACTTTTGGTTGATGCCGCACAAATTTGCCATCAATTTTTCGCATTTCTTGTGACAGTTCACGTCACATTCTATAGAAAAAAATAAAAAGACATATTTTTCTTAATTAATCATATGTAGTAACATCAAAAAAATCTTTTGATAACATTTTGCCAATATTTATGTATTAAAAATAATAGTTATTTTTTATACAAGACGATAAAATTTATCGTCGGCATTTTATCGTCAACCGAAAAGATTAATTCACGAGCGATGAAATTGCCAGTGAATTAATTTCGGGAGACGAATAAAACAATATTTTTCCATAGCGAGTTACGTTTAAAAAAATATTCAGAAATTACTATTTTAAAAAATTTATTACGAGTGGGAAAAATATTGTGCTGGGTTAACGTTTTTGTAATTTGACAAATAAAGCTGTCTCTTTAGTTGTCAGTTTTGAGTCAATATTTTAATTCTTTTTCGTGTCGATTGCTGATTGAATTGGAGCCAGATATGGCTCAAAACGAAATAAGTAAATTACCAACAGATATTCGGGCTGAGGCGACAAACGCCATATCCAAACTACTTCCATTTAAATCCCGAATAACTTATAAAAAGGAATACAAAAATTTTCAAAAATGGAAGCAATTAAAAAACGTGCGAAAATAAATAAAGTTTTAAACCTATCCTCGCTGTTAAAGTATCATTTAATCTACCCCTGTGGTTAAAGTACTATTTTATCTACTATTTTTGATAGATATAAGGCAATTTTAACAGTTGCTATGGAGAAAAATCAAATAGTCTCAATATCAATATTTTTTATAACAATGTACGTCATCTCTAAAAAACAAAGGTGCTGTTATGCATCTTTTAAGAAGAGAACTGTTAGAAAATGCATCGCATTATGAAAAATTCATCGAGACGGTCGGTGCTAGAAGAAAAACATAGGGTTTTTCGCGAAAATAAAATTTTACAGCTATCGCATTCGAACGAGATTTACGACGTCTTTTCCTTCGAATATAAAATATGGCCGTCGCTCTTTCGGCCAGGTAAAGCTCTCCAGTCTCCGATTGATTTACATGGAAGATAGATGCGGAATTTGCCTAATAAACGGATGAAATATGGGCAAATGCATAGAGCGTTTGCCGTTTCCGTATTAGGCAATAATATATCAGTCGCCGATCTTGAATGTCTGATAGGTGCCAGTGGCAGCGACAGATTTTTCTTGATTTTAAACAGGTTTATGCACGCAGAAATAAGAAAAAACTTAGAAGCACCCTAATATATACAGGGTCACTGTTGTGTATGGAGACGGTCGATTATTAGGTAAAATATAGGAGGTACCGCAAAAAGTTAAATATAAAAGTTATAGGGTTTATAAATATCTATTAGCGGGTAATAAATTTAAATATACAGGGTCGGTCATAAAGTCGTGGCACATCAAAGTTCTATTTTTTTAAACGGAACCCCCTGTATATTATTGCATGTTTTGGTTCTTCCTTCAATTCTAAGCAAATATCGAAATACACACAATGTACCTCAAACCAACCGTTTCCGAGTTATTGACTTTTGAAAATATCACTTAAACAATTTGATATAACTAATTTCGATATGTTTTATTTCGATACAGTTTCAATTAACGATGCCATTCTGCCGAAACTGCGATACTTAATAATATTTGACATTAGTCTGGAAAGTACAAAATTTTCGTTCAACATTTCAATTCTTCAATTTATGTACATTACGATTATTGCTTAAAATTGAAGGAAGAATTGAAATATTCAATAATATACGGGGGGTTTCATTTAAATAAAATAAAGTTTGATGTGACACAACTTTATGACCGACCCTGTATATTTAAATTTACTAGTAGCTAATAGGAATTTAAAACCCCATTACAACAGTATCACAGTTTCTGCAGAATGGCATCATTAAATCAAACCAAACCCATCGAAATTAATTAAAAAAAAATTGTTTAAGTGATATTTTCAAAACCTAACTCGGAAACGGTTGCCCATATAGCACTTCCAAATGAAATTACATTTCTACAAGGGAGACACATGAGAAACAAAATATGTTAAAGTGAACCTAAGTGTCCATCTAGTTCTAACATATACATATGAGATACACGCAGGTTTATATTGATAGAATTGTGTGATACAGTGTTTACTAGTTGTATACCGTATGCACTCAACTAACTACCGTATGCACTGCACTAAACTTCTAAAGAGTTTTTTGTAACGTAACAAATAATTATTAAAATGATGAAATCCGACGTCGGTATATGAGACATACAATGTATAAGTCGTATGTATGTGTGATACTTTGTATCATAGTTGTGCCTATAGTACACACCTTGTAAAAATATGACGTATACACATAATATAAATATCTATATAGACACTTTGTAATAGTGTACTGTTGTGTCTACATTCTAGCATGAAATGAAGGTGTGCGCATGCGCGGATAGCCTCACCGTAGAGACACCGACCAAGTGTATCTTCTGTGTCCTCTCTCGTTTCTCCTTTCTAGGAGTGGTATGTGTTAGCAGCCATTATTGTTTTATCATTTCGAAGCTCTATATAAATGTTCTGTTTGTGTGTAGTTTAAAAGAGATTTTAAGGTAAGTACACGTTTTTAATTACTTTGTTACACCTTCCTAAGAGTATTATTAATATTACAGCAGCGACTCTTCCCTTACTCGATACCCAATTTACCAAATTTTGACTCCAATGAATGAAAACTCCAAATATTCTCGTATAATGATGAAGAGGTTAGCTGAGTTAGCTCTGCAATATAATTTTTTTTAATATGGAAATAATAAAAATCTAAATGGACCAGAGAAAGAAAGATTTAAATACTTCAAAGAACTTCTTACACTGATATTCGGTAAGTTATTGATGGATCAATATACACAGATATGTTTAATATTCAATAATCAGTTTCATATAAAATTTAAGGGTGAGATTGTTAATATGGATTTATTATAATATATCCAAAGTCCAACAGAGTGCTCGATGAATGAGTATGCTAATAAACCAACTGCTTGGAGGGAAAAGAGGAGAAAAAAATGACTAAACGAGGTCCACAAAATCGTGGCGATATACCAGTGTTTACCATTTTAGTATGTTGTTATACTAGGTACTTATATTTTTAATACATTTTGATACAAATTCTGTTCTTTTACAGTGTTTTCTTACTTCTGGATTCTGCAGTGTAAATAATTATTATTATTGTGTTATTTGCGCTATTGCGTTCCATGATATAAAGAAATATAAGAATATTATTTTTTAACCACTTAATCCATTTTATGGAAGAAAAATGGTACATTTAATACAAAACAAAAATGGAACAATTTTAAGGCTACTTCTCTTGAACTTACGATTGAGATACTTTTGGAAAATACAAAGTTTTGCCTTCCTAATTTTCGTTCTGAAAAGATATAATTGCTATCATTGAATAAATATTTCTTAAAAAGAACGAAAAGTTAGGCATCAAAACTTGTATTATTTCCTAAATTCGTTCATAAGAAGTAGTTTTATCTAGCACAAGATGTATATACGAAGCAAAATACATACGTATACACGCGGTAGTCACAACTGCAATGTGTAAACATAGTTTAAACGTAATACACAAGCACTTATTTTTTTTTTCATTTAAAAAAAATGAAACTTTGATGTGCCACGACTTTATGAACGACCCTGTATACTTAAATTTATTACTCGCTAATAGATATTTAAAAATCCTATAACTTTTGTATTTAACTTTTTGCGGTACCTCCTATATTTTACCTAATAATCAACCGTTTCCATTTCCATACATAAAAGCGACCCTGTATAATATATAATTAACTATAATAACAAAATTGTCAATCTGTAGAGGAAACGAGAGAATATCAGTGCCTAGTAAGTTTACAAAGGTTAGGACCTCGTTTAGGACATACATTCATATGGAGTTTTTCTCTTAGAATAGGTCCCACAATCACGCCCTTAAATATTAGCATGTCATTGAGGAACACCCTGTATATCCAGAAAAAATTGTAATCTGTAAAATCTGTAATAACCTATGGCCAAGTGAGTTCTCCCAAAACAAAAATAAATACACAGAAATGGAAATTTCAAATGTTCATTTTATTTTCCATGTGTTATGTCTATCTACCAAACAACATATATTTAAAATTCAAAAAAGTCACTAAAAATCAAAAATACTTGTTAGATACATGTTTATAACAACCCGAACGAGTGCTTAGTAGCTCATCTAAGACTATCCAAGGTAGTCCTTTTTTTCTTTTTTTATAATAACACTCTTAAATAAATTCTACTTAAATTTGTTCAGGAGATTGGTTGATACTGGATAATTTTGGATAAAGTTCGTACATTCTGGTTAGTGTGGTGTGAATACAGCATGTGTCAACATTAATACACCGTCTGTGAAAAGGTGTTTATTCTGAAATACAATTAAAAATTATTGTATAGATATTTGTAACTAAATTTATTATATATTCATTATTAAAAGTCTCAAATCATTATAAATATTTATAAAGAGAGAATTTATTTTTCCACAGCAGGAACTATTTATACGCATATGGTTACATTCGTTAAATATGACACTTAATGTCAGTTTAATAATATATTTTCGTACTTTTGTGCTTAAGCCTAAAATAAGTGTTTTACTGTTATGACTAGACATTAAAATGACTTTTTGTGAAAGCGTTTCGAAATTGACAGTTTTTGATATTTATTTGAGATTCGAAATGACATTCTTTTAGAAACTACACTTGCGTGCATAGAAATCGGCCCATGGCAAACTTTTGAAGTTAACTATATATTTTTTAGAATATATTTGTCAGATAACGAAAAAATATATACTGTTTGAAAGACAATTTCATACTCTTTGAAAAGAGTTTAGAGGTCTTAATTTGTATTTCGGTTTCTTTGGATTAAAATTATTAAATTAATGCATGAAACAAGTTATCGTTTTTATTACTAAGATGTATGTCATTATTTATTTATTTATTTATTGACAATTGGCTAAAATAAATTTTCAATAATGGGTATGACCCCCTCTTGCTCTTACAACATCTCTCATACAA